TAAATCTAACGATCAAATATTGTTAGTAACGATGTTAATGATATTAAAAAAAATTAAACATCCAACGGTGGAGTTCTGTAAAATGTTACCGGATAAAAAGGATACGTAGTTTTTTCGTAAGTGTGATGATGTTATGCACCATCCACGCAAGTATGTACGTTCGCATAATTTGTGTGAAAAATATGTTAATACTTAACTACGTAAGTGTAATATTATTCTGTAAAACTGCTAAAATAAAAAATTATGAAAAAGAAAATAACTTTTTTGCAAATGATAAACAATAATCACCTGTAACCATAAATTGCACTAAAAATAAATAGAAAAAAAAAATCGCAATCGAATTGAACAGTTTAAGTATAAAAATATACAATTGTGAATTAAGTTAAAAGAAAAAAGAAGAAAATTATGAATATATCAATGCTTTGTATTTGTACCCTAATAGTACAGTGAAACCTTGCGTACGGAAAAAAACTAAGAAAAAAACGAATGTTAGAATTGAGTTTAAAATGTATGTATCCTCGACTCTGTTGTAATCATATGTACGTGCATTTTTGTACGTGTTTGTGTATGCATATACATATACACACAAATAATTATAAAATGAAATTACTGTAATAAAATCGTAATCTAGAGACTACGTTTGAATTCATGATTTGTTACAAAGATTTATATTCCCTTTATTATTAATTACATTGCATGTAATTCTCAAACAATAAAAATAAAAAGTACAATGCTCTCAATTATATTTATTAATTAAACGATTTCTTACACCTCAAAATATTATATATAATTTTATATTATTTTTAAATTACATTGGCATATTTTAAGTTTATAAAGCATGTAAGAATGATGCAGTGTATACACACATGCACACCCGTTTACAATATAAGTGTTCACACATGCGTACACACGAAGTGAGGGATGCATAAGTGTGCGTGCGTGTGTGCGTGCGCGCGCGTGCGCGTATGTGTGTGCAGGCATGCGTATGCCAATAAGTAAAAAATAAATAATATAAAAAAAATTAACGATACTGAAAATTTGTCACGAAATATAAATAAAAAATTATGAATATGCTGTATCGATTAAAGTCTATGCCTTTGTTAAGTTGTATATCCATTTGCCGATTTCGAATGTATAATGCTGATCAACGTGTAACAATGAATTTCAAAATTAAGCTAAGGAAACAAAAGTAGAGATAAGGTCTGTGTTTGCATAATGTCACCTCATCGGTTCTATCAGTTCTGTATACTTTTTGCTCAAGCGCCAGATGAATAAAAAGTGAAAAAGTCAAAGTAGATTGACGCGATGACAAGAAGATGATTGTATTCTTATGTATGTATTATACAGCGATTTCTGCAGTTAACATGTAATAAAATTGTAAACCCGAACACAATGAGAAACCAAGTGCAGTGAATAATATCACTATTAGCTGAAGAAAAACCATCGATAAATTCTATGTATCGATAAATAATATAAAATTGTTTAAATCATTAAAATTCACTGATATTGTATTAAATTAATCATTTTTCATTTTATTTTTAAATTTGGTTCATAAATCCAATGTATTAATTAAATGGTATTAACATATCATTTCAGAAAAGAGTTGAAAATAAATTATTTCAATATTTATAAATTCATGTATATATATAGTATAAATTCATTTTTAGTTAGGATGAAATATATATATATATATATATATCACGATTAAATAATCTTTTAAAATAATTTTTATCATTATAAAAATTTTCATAATATAAAAGCCCAATAATATTTGTTACAGCTTATTTTACATTTAACTTATTATATTATTGTATATCAATTGTATTAAAATTATTTTAAAATTCTACATCGTAAGTTTATCATGATGGAAAATAGTACAGATTTTAACTAATTATAATTTTTTTCAATTTTCAGTAACCTGCAATAATTTTTTTGTATATGTCTAAGTATTTGAATTTATTAATCTAACCAAAAACTATAACAAAAAAACAATTGAATATTGTACGTAATGAGATTAATTACTTTTTTGACAGAATTGTATTATAGACATATTAAGTTTTAAGGTTATGCTAAATTTCATTCTACAAATTGTAAATAATTTCTATTATACCCAAGTTTAAAAAATATTCCTTAATTTTTACAATTTCAACTATTAAGGAAGGCATTAAGGAAATCATTGACAAGTGTATCTATCAATTTTAATATTGTAAGTATTTATATTAATAATTATAATTAATTTTTATAAAAAATGACTGTATAGAAAGGATCTTTTCCTAGAATGGAAAATTGTGGTCTAACCAAATTAATACGCCTTTATTCGTTAATAAGAACAAACACGAAGGTGATATTTGTGTCGTATATGGGTAGTAAATCGACAAGCTCACCTTCTCTTCCTATAAACGTACTTCCCATTTTATAAACGACAATTTTGGAGATTACCTTGTACATTTTACCTGTTTCATTTCGATCAAAATGGCACCAATTGATCTTGAATTTCCACAAAAATCTACTCATTGTTTCTTTTGTGATAATACATTTTTTTTTATATTATACATATATAATTATTCAAAGTTATATAGAGTTATGAAAATGTAAAAAGTCATAGAGGCTTCATAAAATAATAATAAAAATTACTTACTTTCAAACATGATGAATACAAAATGGAATAATTTCATTTTAATTCGTTTTTTTTTTTACTAAGAGCTAAATTATGTCAATAAAATTTAAATTAATAGTATTAATATTATTGAAAAATTCTCAATATAGTTAATTTAAATGTTAAATTTTATTTCGTTGCTAATATAAATAACATTAGTGTAAAATTAATATAAAATTAAACATCTCGATTTCAAAAAGATTAAATGAAAATAGGATTTCAAAGATAAATATTTTTTTAAAGTAAGTTTTTACCAATATGATTTAATATTTAATATTATACAGAACATAATATTATATTGGCTATTTCATATTAGCTAATTTTCCAATTACTTTGAGTTATATATTATATCGAAGTAGGGTTCTTTTTTAATAAAACCAAAATTCTAAAAATGTTATTTTTAAATTGTAACGGTTAATATTTCAATCTATTAATTATTAAAATTAAAATATTATTGTAATATTTTACAACAAGGAAAAATTAATATATTAAAAGTATTGGTAATAGTCAAATTAAATCAATAATTAATAGTAAATATAAAATAATATTTAATATAAATAATATGTTATTAAATAAGAAGTTTTTATTTGTGCAATTAATATCATGTAGAGCTATTTACTATATATAATCGAAATCGATGAGACTATTTTTATTACGAAAAATTTTATATTTTAATATATATAATATTGTAGTATTACTCTCGTAATTGGCATTTAATCTTAAATAACCGTTATTTCAGCCATTGTATTTAAATTAATTATATGTACCTATTCGTAACATACATTTCATATTTGCGATAGTAAGATGTGTGATGCACTCGAACAAAATTTGAACTAACTTTCCAATACCATAATGTCTTCACCAATGTCATTATTATTCTACAATTAAAAATTTTATATGCAATATTATTTACATGCATTTACACTCTCATGAATGCACGCGCGCGCGCACACACACACACACACACACAAAGTATTAATTTCTAATGAATATGTGTAAATAATTATTTATAATTCATTTGATGGTGTAATATTTGGTGCTATGTTTGATCAATATACTGACTTACGATTACTTCCATCAGACGTTAGATTTCTAGGCTTAATATATTTCATAAAACTTTTTAATTTGTTAGATATGTAAGCAATTTGATAGAACTACGAAATATTTAAAGTTGGGCATATTTATAATGAGTCAGGTAATACTTGTTTCTATGGGAACAAAATTAAATTAATTATTTAATTGAGTGAAAATTTTATTATGTAATATAATAGTATAGATTCAATTTGATAAACTAATATAATTAGATAACTAATTATTATGACTAATTGATAAGTATTATAAAATAATATAACTGAATTGATTTTTTCATAACTTCTTATTTTAATTGTTTTGTTTCGTGATTTTTTTATATTTGCTACTTTTATAAAGTGTTTTTATGGGATTGTTATAAAGTGATTACTATTACTATATGTATAAATGAATTAATTTAATAATAAAATTTGAATTTTTGTTTAACTGAAATATATAATTTATAAAAATATATATCATTAGATATAAAAACGATATTTTTAAAATACAAGCCTGAAAATATAAATGCAGAAGTAAAATAATGACACAAAAGAGATATAACGAGAGAGAAAAGATTGAACGAATAAATAGGGAATAGAATAATTAAATAGAAATTTATGGATAAAACATTATAAAGAGCAAATATGTGAAGAATATTGCATTTGATGTGATTTGGTTTGTTAGAACGCTAACATCAGCGCAAAGCCATCAATTATAATTCTGTTCGTCCATTAGAAAGCGTTCATTGATAGCTAATACGAGGAGACAATTTATATAAAGTAGAGTGTCCTTTAATACATATAATGATAAGTAAAATGTGTACTATCTATACTCAAGCCTTCTTATTTTATGGTGAAGGTGGAAAATATTCTCCATCTTCTTACGCGGCTTATATACGATGTACAGACTACAAAGAAAGTGCATATCGCATCTGTGCTCAATAGTGATTTATCGATTGATCTCTTAGAATAAATGATCGTAACTTCTCATCCTCGGGACACGCTATATTGTCCCTTTAAACGTGTAGTCTAAAGGGGCGCCACGAGTCTGTTTCGATCGATGCCGCCGTGTAAGCGCATACTCCTGGACCCTCCCCTACCTTCGGCGCCGTCCACCCCCGCTGCCCGCCGCTGCTTCATCAAGCGACGGTGCACGAGACAGTCAGCGCCGCCAACGGCGCAGTCCCACTCAGCTGATTCGTGTTTACTAGCAAACAAAGGAAGCAAGAGGAGAGCTCGGGGCAAGCGCTGCGCAACGTTAGTTTAGTGCTGGACGCCGAGCGGTTCGCTGGCGTCCTCGCCCCCTTGTCTAGATCATTGTCGTTCCCTCTCCCCTCAGCTTCACTCTGTCGTGCGTTCGAGAAGAGCAAGTGCGCGCCGTCAGGAATATCCCTCCCTCGCGTTTTCGTGTCGTGTGCTGCAGCCGAGAGAGCGGCCTCTCCGGGCCCTGGCGCAGCTCCAGGATACCCAGCAACCTGGCACAGTGAGTAGCGCGTGCGTAATGGTTTTGCGTCGTTCGCCCGACGCTTCGTACCTGTGAAATCCGAGGAAAACTGGTGCTTCTCTATCGTAATCCCCGTCAGTCGCGCAAAAACCTGGAGGGCGAGAAAGTGATTCGTCGCTGCGCAAAGCGTTCGCCGCCCCTTTGCTTCTCCCGATCAATGCAACCTAGAAACCCCAGCACAATTTTTCACGTTGGAATTTAGTCATACGATGCAAATTTGAGCTTTTCTAGCAGCGCTATGCATCATCGCTACAAGCAAATTAAATTTCTTGTTAATTATAGTTGTCGTTATAACTGTCCAGCGTAAGACTTCTTCTGCCGTTTACAATAAGATGGCAATTATGCATATGTGAGGTGGTAAAGCGTGATGTTGATGTTTCCTAATAATGCGCATCTTTAGAGTGCCATTTCTCATATCAGGTTCGAGGGGCAATATTTAAAAGAAGTACAATAAGATTTTATGGTGTTGATTTAGATTTTTAAATGGTCTTATATTTCAGTTCCTCTTATATATCAATGATATTCCTATTCTGTATATATTTCTCTCCTTTGCGAGTATAATTTTTATTCTCGAATTGTTTGTAAGAACAATGAACACAAAGGTACAGTCTAGACGGAAAAACATTTTCAGCCAGTATTTTCCGTATTACGTTAATATTTAATTCGTGCGCGACATAGAATTTGGTTCTACATATTAACAGCGAAACATGCTTAATGTCAAAATAATCGAGTCAGCCACTCAATGGTTAACCCACTCTCAATATTTATCCACAAAGTTTAAAATAAAAACTCAAAATAAGGGCATTAATATCATTTGTTAATAATATTGTCAATGATGTTATTAACAATAATTATTACAGTTGTCGTAATTATGTTTACACAAAAGAATACTTTGATGGAGAAATAAGTCATTGGAGTATTCGAAAAGAGTAAATAATTCGTTGAAAATTATTATTAATGAATTATAAGTCATACAGAATATGCATCAAGGGTATTTGTATTATTAGATATGTCAACAGATAAAAGAATCAAGTTCAAGATTCATAATGGGCAATAACCTTCGTATCTTATGATAACCTAATTTGACATAAATCAAACATGATGACATAAACCAAAAATTTCGCTCAGCAAATTTTTATAATGCAAATTTTTCTACGGCTACGTTATTTTGTAGTATTATGCAGTTAAATTTCATGAATTTTAGATCATTTTACATGCTTATTATTTTTTATATTAATCGCATTACGTATTATATCAATATTATAGTATATATGTATTTTCCAATTACACTGAGTTTTTTTTTTTTTTTAATCTAACCGTTTTAGGCGTATTTTTAGTTTACTTCACCTGTCATTAGTGCTTGAACAAAAGAACGCTTATCGACTCACGTAATGAGAGTTAAATAAAATGGTAAATCTAAAGAAATGTTATTTGCAGCATGTGTAAAATAATTATTTTACATCGTACCTACACACGTTTATGCACAAAGAATTTACATTTTTGATTTAGTACTATTACGAGTATTAATCTATTATTATATTATTTTTTAATATTCTTTTTGCAAATAAATTATCAAAATAGTAATATTTATACGTATAATAAATAAGAAATTTCAAAAGACTATATAATACAAATATTTACAATATATATATATATATTCATAAATTTCTATTTTTTCTTAATGTGTCAATCAATTAAAAAGTTTATAATTAAAAATCAATATATTTATAATTGAAAAGACTGTCTTTGCCATTTCGTAAGATAGGCTGTACGATAATGTATTTTGTATTTCATAAAGATTTCGCAAATTTTTGATACACAATAAAAATTTCAATATCTTACATGAATAAAATATAATAATGAAATTGCTTGGTTAATAATTCACAAATGTTTTCTTAATATTATAGATTGTTTAAATTATTATGTTTCTGTTTGAGTTTATTTATATTTTTCGGATTCTTTCTATTCAATTTTATCTTCTGTTGAATAATTGACCAATCCTTCGCCATTCTGCTTAATCGGTACATCTATCAATATTTTATACTTTTATTACACTATCAATATTTCAGATTTTTATGAAACTATTGATATTTTATATCTTTATCAGACTATCTATATTTTTGTTTTTCTTTTACATTATAAAGATTATTTGCAATTTGTACTGTAAATAAATTTATAAATTAATTAATTAGTTAAAAAAAGATTATTTTTATAAAACACAGTGATTAGATATGGTTTTAAAAGTCGCATGAATTTTTTAAAAGTCAAAATTAATATTTTGGGAGCTAAAAACGCATTAATAAAAGTTTATCGACACATCGAATAAATCTCCATTAAAATATTGTAAGTCAAAAAGAAATTTTTATATATATTATTTTTATTGTTTCATGTTTCTGGAACTTTTAATAGTGTATTCGATTTCACTTATTTAACAATTAATTATTTAATTTAATATATGGGCTATTGTCATTGATACATGAAAATGTAATATATGATATTAAATAGATTTTATAATATAATTATACTTATTTAATATTTGCAATTTAGACTTAAATTTAGCATATGTAAACAATATACATATTACTAAAATTCTATTGTCCTCACAGGAACATAAATTACGTTGCTCAAGAGTTCATTGGCATTCATTAAAAATACAAAAAATTTCAATAAATAATATCTTAAAAAATGATGTAATTAGAGAAATGCATGGGAAGTAGACATATGAAATTTTTCTTTAATTCATATTCTAGACAGAAATATGTAACATAAAATATTCAGTTAAGAATACGAAATTAATTACACAAAATGTAAATATTTAATTGTAAAAGAAAGTTTATACATTTATTTATTTTACATATGTTTATATATTTTATAATTTTATTGTATACACATAAAAAATTGCTTTTAAAGTACGAGAGAAATGTTATATAATATATTTTTGAATAAAATGTGTTTTCAAAAGGTTTTTTTTTTTTATAATTAATACTTATGCTTCAGATTAATTATTTGAATAATTATAATGTACCTTTAAATTGTATCTTTAAATTCTATTAATGCATTGTAAATTAATTGTATTTCTGTTTAAATTCGACTTGAAATATTTCGTACAGTTATTAATTATTACAAATTTACTGTTGTTTATTATGTAAATTTTTCAGAAATTTTAGACATTAAAAGTGCTATTTTTTTTAATTAGAATGTTTTTCAATAAGTATAAAGAGCATTACAAATTATAAAGGACGTGCAGTTTTACATATATGAAAATTTTTTATACGTAATTAATTCAGTTTACTTTCCAATGATTTGTAGTCAAGTGAATGTATAAGACAAAAGTTTAGGTTGAAAATGTATTTGAATGAACAATTTTCTTTATTTAATTTTGAACTCCCATAAGTTATTGAGCTATTTTTCATTGAAAATTTTATATAAAATTGGAATTCACAAATTATATTAATTTTTTTTTTTATATAAATTCAATATCGATTAATTCAAGTATAAATTATTAAGTTATTCGTAATTTTGACAGGGAATGTCTGGTGAGGTTTGGTTTTTACAAGTTTTATTGTCATTTGAAATTCATATATTTGTACAAGCATATTATTATTGTTATTTATATAACAACAAACAATTGTAATACTTACATAAAAAAGTTAATTGTATAATTGTTTAATTATCAATTCCTATGGCTTATTTTCAAAATGATGGTAATTATTAATACAATACTTATACATATTTCTTTAATTCGTTTATATGTTTTAATAATTAATTAATTGATATTCGAATACATTAAACAGGCTTTAATTTAATTTTACATAGGCTCTTTAAATTTATGTTTGTAAATTCAATTCAATTGAAAACTATTTCTTTTGTTTTGAGCGCAAATAAATTCTAAGAATATTAGAAGCTACTGAGGCATATTTATAATTTTACTATAAATGAAGGTAAAAAATAAAATAGCGGAAGGCATTAGTAATAAGAAAAATAAAACGACAGCCTCCATTATGCATGTATAACCATCGAGCTTTGATGGACAAATGAACGCATGAGTTTCGTGGTATTGTCTAATTTTTATGTGGAAAACCTTTCGATTTGCTCATATATGCGTCGTAAGACATGCACAGAGATGATGAAAATAGGGCTTTCGGCTACAGTGGAGCATTCGTGCGCGCGATATCCCGAGGCCCTGACCCGATTCCCCTGTCTCTCTTACTGCTCCCCACCCCCCGTAAGCCATCTGTTTCCCTCTCTAGTTCTCTCTCTCTCTCTCTCTCTCTCTCTCTCTCTCTCTTTTATTCAAAACTTGTGCTGCCGTCTGTGTAGTATTTCTTGTATGCTCCATTTTACCCCAAATGCAACTAATGCGAATAAACGAATGTATATTCATAAATGATAATGCGGAAATACTTAATTTCATTGAATTTACGGTGTCACTGTGTTTTATAAGGCCCAATTGGTGCGGGGGAGCGGGCGGGGATTATTAAGTATAATTTTTTTTATTAAAGTTTATTCCTTTAATACATTATTCTGCAAAGAGGTATGCATAATGCTTTGATAGAAAAGTAGAACTTCCATAATTTACATATTAATAATTTTTTATACACATACAGTAAATACGACAAAATCCAAATTCTTTGTACGAAAGGGAAATAGTAATGTGAATAGAATCAAGTGAACCTTTGTTTTGGTGACTATCTTGATCATAAAATAGATCATTGTTATATTCTAATTCTTTTAGTGCCGCTGTAATGTATTGTGTTTTAGATAATATCGCTTGTTAAAATTGTCTTTCCGGTTAGCTAATCAAATATTTGTGTTTTTGTAGATAACGTTTTGAAAATTTTGTAGATTTAGAATATTTTTCGAATAATCTTAATAACCATATATACATACATATATATATATATATATATATATATATATATATATATATATATATATTGAGTGATTTATAATATATTTAAATACGATAAATTTTTAAG